ACGAAAACCATTTTCTATATATATGTCATGAAGTATATTTAGGATTGTCAGTTGTGATGAAAGCATTGTTCTGTTAGCGAGCATTATCCTCGTTTTTGCAACATCCAATGGAGTTGTAACAGTTGCAGAGATGCTTCCTAAAATTACAAAAATATGTACACAGATTAGAGAGAGAGAGAGAGAGAGAGAAAGATACAAATAGGTGACTGTACAATAATTTATTATCTTACTTTTATTTATAATATAAAATAAAAACCTGAAATTGCACCACAGATTGCACTTTCCACTGGATATATTTCTCTCCTGATGTGGAAACTGTACAGTTTCTTCAAATATTCCCATAATGGAAACTGTACAATACTAAAAGGTGTATCTCGTAACACTGTACTCCAATACCCACGGTACAATAACTTAAGACCAAGTGATTCCTTGTCGTGTATCAGTGCCTGTTTTCTCTGCTTTATGACCTCCACTGGAACTCGTATTAAACATGCTATCTTTGCATATAAAGTAACATGATTAATATACATGATCAAATATCTTCCTTTTACAACAAATAAATTAAATATGAACAAAACATAATATATAGTCTATAATTACTTATATAGTGACTTTGAACATCAAATTGTATGCATGTTCTTAATTTTTTTTTCTTTTCAGTCTTTTAAATTGTTATTAAAAAAGATAATATGTAATTATTAAAATAGCACCATTTCTCCTAATGTTGCTGCTCCCATGTGAAGTACTGTATAGTACTTTGTGGAAACTTTTGGCTGCATTATAGTTTTAATTTCTTCATATGTTAAAAAGAATAGAGCAGCTAAAATATGAGAGAGAGAGAGAGAGAGAGAGAGTAATGTGTTATATAAGAATATATATACAAAGTTTTAATCTGGCATTATACCTGTTGGTGCTGAACCAATTATAACTGGATAAATCCCTCTGTAAAGACCTGTGAAACCTCCAGCATTCAAAAATCCTTGCGCACTCTGCAATCGAGTTTTCAATGTATCTAGTGGGAATAACGTAATATCCACAAATGTTCCTGCGGTTCCTCCTGCCTAAGCAAACGAGTATTATTATATAAATGTACAAGCGCAACTTTATTTGTTTATTATTAACATTGTGCATTAGTCACAATGTACTGGAAAAATAAAAAGACTCCGTGACACAAATTTCAACAAGGGAATCAAAAGTTGGAAATTTGGAAAAAACCTGGAACGAATGTTACATTTAGTGTTTTCACAATTTATTATTTATTAATTCTATTATTATTTTACAGATATACTTTTACGATCCAAACAATCATTAGAAACATGAAATATTGATGAATCAACAATTGAGTTATAGCGGCTTTAATTAGTCCCTCTACTTCTGATATATTCATCGTATTTACATATAAAAGACTCATTTAAAAGATTATTTGCAAATGTTACAACATATATGTGTAATAAAACTACATTGTACAAATGCAATATTTTTTGCTTACAATAAGAGAAGTAATAAAAACATTCCGCACGCCCGTCGCTTCCGTTTTTCTTTCGCTCTTCGTCATTTTGTTTTCGCAAAAAACACAACTTTCGTGTAATTACAATACTAATGTAATGCGTCTCGTCGATCGACTCGATTATGCAAAATATAATTGTGCGAAAAAAACTACGGTAATTGTTCAGTTTAGCGGCCCCACCTCAAATATCGATAAAATTATGCTCATTCGACGCGTTTTTGCACAAAACTAAACAGTATAGCAAAAAAAAGTGTCGCTCTGCCCCGCGAAGCGAGATATTAATAGTTAAAGTTGACGACTATTTAGGTTACAAAACCTGTCATATCGACGAAATACAACATACAGGGACCATTGAATTCTATACATACTGGAATGAGCGATTCCATTGTTTGGCTGTCGCCACTATTTCGCCGAGAGAGAGGTGCGTTTGAATTTTGGCATCTCTTTCTAGTATTGCCGATTGGTCCATAGCATGTCACGTGACATCATCTAAACTGAGAGTGAGCTCTGTAAAGGCCAGTCTACAATGGCAGCAACAAGGCTGTAGGAGTAGGAGAGTATACTTTTAAGAGCAAATGGGAATTGCCCATTTCGTTACTCTCGGTCTTTACATCACTAAAAACAGTATACTCTCCTACTCCTACAGCCTTGTTACTGCCATTGTAGACTGCCCTTTACAATTTCATTACTCAACCTTTCATTTTGTCGATTGATTGAAAATATTTTTCATTCCGGGAAACTGTGATTATCAAACAAATAAATGGATTGACGATGAAATATTATTATAAAATTTTGAACAATTGTGTGTGCAGATAGTTGTCAAGGAAGAAATGCGACGGCAACATATGGCCGAACACGCGCGCAGACTAGAAGAGATGAGACGTGCTGACAGAAACAGGGATGGCCGGCGTCGACGTAGTCCAAGAAAATAAAAAATATCAAGTATCGTCGGAAACGATACACCTACCTTTCCCTTGACCCGATTTGACCCAAACCTAAACTTGATTCAGCTTTAATCAACTCATTCTATCCCCTCAATCAATCTTGTAATTTTAAATCCCATTGTTTTTTACTACTGTATGTTACTTATCACAGATATATTATTTGTTTTTTTCTTTTTTTTTTATCAAGAACATCCAAAATGATAAATTAACATTTCAACATTCATTACGTTTACGTTCTGATCTTATTTTCTGATAAGGATGAGAACATCAATTTTGAGCATTTGTTTGCATAATAGTTCCCTTTGTGTTGTTTTCTCTCTCCATCCTGTTTCTATTTTATTTTTTCATATTTCCTTTCTCAGTTTGATTTCAAGTCACTTACAGATGATACTATTTGATGCATGATTATCAAGAATCCTTTCAATTCCTTTCCTCATGTATTAGAATTAAACCATACTTCTTACAGGTCAACATTTATCTATCCCACAGAGAGGCAATAATTAGATCAGGCATGGTGTAGTGATACTGTGTATTGCATCGACCACGGCAGGTGATACTGACTTACGATCTCTACGTCATGTTAAGACCATATGTGAGAAACACATCTGCTCGCAGTATCCACATGATACATTTTACAACGTGGGAAGCTCTGAAGAAAATAGACGAGACATATGTCGAATGTGGAATAGACTTGACACTCATGATTGAATAATTTTCGTTTCTTCGTTCTTTTTTCTTGTTTCTTTTTGTTTACAAATGGAACATTGACAAGTACACTTGAATGGATACGACGCAATCTGGTTGGGATATACTGCCGCTCGAACTATAGAAGAACATTGTTGTGAACATGTTGTCTGAACATCGTTCGATGAACGAAAAAGAAACTGTCTCTGCATTAAATATTCTTCTCCATAATCTATTTCGATCTCCGCGAGCTGGACAACTACCAACCATTCAATTTTGGTAGTGGCTACACTTGGAAACGTCGCGTCAGTGTTTTAATTGTGCGATAGACTAGCGCAGAACGAAGACATATATGTAAATATAATCGATATTCCATAGTGTGACACATGTAAAATTATTAATAAATCTTAAACAAAAAAGAGAATACACACTACTAGGATATATAGAAATACATTTACCGCTTACTTTTTACAATACACCTATCAGAAACTTTGTTATTCATCTGTAGACGAAAAATTGAAAAGAACGTGGATAAGTAAATACATTTATGCTTAAAACAAAGAACCGCCTATTGTCTGTTATGTTTGTAAAATTGTATTTAATAAATTCCTAACAAAAAAACAAAAAAAAAAACGCGAAATAGAATGCGGCGAATAAACATCTCTAAAATATATAAACTTATTCGATAATTTTATTTATATTTTTAATAACATTACCACCGACGAGATAATACCTCGTCGATGCCAACGCTAACATTGTAGTTATTTTAATTTATAAAATCTAAATACAGAAAGTATGTATATATCGATTATTAAATATATGTCACGGTTACAAATAATACTAACGATAGCAACGAAGAAAAAATGAAGAGAGACTTAAAGAGAGAGAATTAAAATTTAATTATTAGATTGGTTCTCAATTTGTACATTTACTTGTATAAATTTATATAATTTGAAAAACACGACGACATACTCGTTTCATTCAATTGAATTGTACTTACGATTTTTTCTCTTATGTACCTCACTATTAATACTTTTATCAATTTTTAATACAAAGAAATTATCTTTGCATCTCTTTGTAGTGGTAAATGTATTAATAAAGGGTAAATAATCTGATCAGATTTTTTATGTAGCATCGAAGATTTAATATTATGAGATATTAAACTCAAAACGTGTCGTGATTGCACACTATATAACGTTTTTCCAAGTGTTCCAGAAACGAATAAGTAAAATAAAATGTTTATGCAATAGTTAATTTTTGCGAATATCTAAAACATACATCAATATGCATGATGTACGTTAGACGCTTATTCGGGAAAATATTTCTCAAGAATGTCTGATAGTCGATAATGCAAGACGATGTGTATCCGAAAATTATCTCTTGTATTAATAAAATAAATCGCATTTATTATTTATGATAATACTTGAGGTACGAGATTTCAATAATAATGACGCGAAGAATATACTAATATTCGCGCATTATTATCGCAACAAATTTTTTTGTCCTAATGCCAGTTTATGTAATATCGACTATCGCTCATTCTCGTTTCGATCAGTTTCGCACAAATTTTACCACATTCATCAAACAGGCATTGTTCTCCCATCAGTTTTATTTAATCAACCTTCACAACACTATAAATTTTGCGTACGAACCAAAAACAGGCGAAGAAACCAATGGAACCTGGAAAGAAAAAAATCAATTGTTTTCGTTTTTTTAAATACTATAGTTGTTCATATAATGAATAATATTCACCAGTCAAAAGGAAGAATAAGTAAACCATGATAAATGTATATCCGAAATACAGGAACGTAGAAATGGCGCCTTCAATATCTAATTTAGTGACAAAGAAGTGTATACAATAAATTAACAAGTAGACAGCAGTAAAACCGGATGTGAGAAAGCTGCGCCACCACCAATGATAGTCCTGTAAATAATTTTATTCACATCATACGATATTTAACAAAAGAAATTCAGTTGTCCTCATTATATATTTACCTCCGCGCAAAGATGGAAATAACAGAGTAGAATCGTCGTCTCGGAACATGTGATAACGAGTATAAGGAAAACCAAAAAGAGAAATCCGAACATATAATATACTTGGCTTGACCTATAAAAAATATTTTATAAGAGAGAATGTTTATTAATAAAGATATATATATATATATATATATTTGTGTGTAAAAATGTACTTGCCAAAGAGAATTAAGTATGAAGAATAACTGTATAAATATGCAACCGAACGGTAAGACGCCACCCATTATGACACCAGGTACTGGCTGTGTGTAGAAATTTTGCTCTGGTATCTGTCGAGGAATCTGATTCGTTCGCACTGGATGTTCCAAAGCCTGTTGCATTATTCATAATATTATAAATAGTTATTTGCATATATATTACATTAAAATAATATAAATCAAAATTACTCTTTTTTTAAAGCCGAAATAGGCGCCGATGAATGTTAATGGTACTGATACTCCAAACCATAATGCTAGAAGTGCGATTAAAGTACTGAAAGGTACTGCAGCTGAACTTCCATTCACCCAGAATATCAAATTCATTATAAAGAATAAGCTAAACACGATCCTGAAAAAAATATATAATCTTGTAATATATACCTATGTCTCGAATATAAGTAATAAAAGGGAGACTATCTTATTTCAAATGCAGCAAAATCGACAAATTTATAAATAATGTGAGTTTTACCCAGGGCTAAGCATGGATGTAAGTAAGACATTGGATTTCCATTTTTCTCCACCGAAACTTTTATATATCCGAGCGGCTGTGTACCCCGCAGTGGTTCCCAAACAAACGTACAAAACCATCGCACAAGTCATCAGCGCGCCTCTATTAGCAGGAGAGAGGAATCCCAAGCAAGCGAATGCTATAGAATTATAATATTTGTAATTTGTCGTTTGAGAGAGATAAAAGGAAAATAATTAATGCATGAATTTAATCTAATTAATATATGTTAAACTGAAATTTTTCGTAATTCTAAAATAATCTTAAATTTAACACCTTATTGATTTTATAAATACGATCTACCTAGTGTAACTAACGTCATGAAGAACACTTGAACACCAGATCCAAGCAGAACTGAAAGCAACATTCCTTTACGCGGAGGGCGAAATACGTCGCCGTGTACCAGTTTCCATCCAAACTCCTCTTGTGCATCCTCTCCTGATTCTATCTGGAAGTAGGCCTGCGTTATCACAACACAGACAAACGGATCACAATTTTGTAAAAGTGAAGAAAACGTTTGGTTACCTTCACCTTTTCATAAAATATGTTACATTGTTCTATAAAAGTTTATGCAATCGAGCCAAGTTATTCAAAGCATTTCTTATTATTAGTATAGGATATGCAATATTTGAGAATTATTGAATTAAAAGGGCATAATTTAATGAAACTAAATTTTGAGAAAATATAAAACTTATTATATAAGTGGAAAGTTTTTTTGCAAAAACCACCAGAGCACATAAATTTATGGGTATGCTCCACTTGATGTTTGAATTTGATCAATCAGAACAAATGGAATAAAGATTTCTTTGTTTTGATTGATCAATCAAATACTTCGAAGTATTTATGATACTAAATGTAGTGCATTTTTCTAAAACATATTTTTGAACAATTCTTTAGAATTTTAATAATTTTACTCAAAGACTTTCAAACATAAACACACACGCGCGCGCGTGCACATGTATATACAACATCGGGTGCGTGTTTGTGCATAAAATCTTTAATAATAAAAAGAGAAGAACATTATTTTTTTGAAATCATGTCCTTTTAAGATATTTCAATTTAAGATAATTCAGTTGTCAAGTAATGTTATTATTAGAAAGACTTCCAGAAATGTATTCCCAGTATTCACTTTGTAATAACATAAAAGAATATGTATAGGGAAGATTAAGTGCAGTTATGTTAAATTAAAGCTATTTAAAAGTATTTATAAAGTTATAAAAAATATTTAAGCTATTTGAGTACAAAGTTATGTAAGATTGTGATATATAAGTACCTGATTATATCGTGCGATATCTTTGTGCAATGTACGTAGCATTATCATAGCCACCATGCCAGAGAGAAACAGAACGATTATCAGTGAATTAAGAATACTAAACCACTGAATATTCGTATGTGGCATCGATTCTAAAATGTAATCCCATCTGGACGACCATTTGATCGTATTATTTTGCTGAAATAATAACAAATATATGATAATAAATTATGTACATAAAATAAAATAATAAAATGAAGAATAAGTAAATTTTGCAAATTGTTATTAAGATATCCTTGTGTTATCATACTATTTCATATTCGTAAAAACTTACCACAAATTTAACGGAATATGTATATTTCACTTGAAATGTTTGTCCACCTGAAAGCTCATTGGTTGGTATCTCTAATGGTATTTGACTTTCACAATCAACTGAACCGGTATGCTTAATACTGTGAGGCACTACTTTTGCAGCTATTAAAAATACACTCATATGATTAATGCAATATTTATTAATATGTAATTAAATGCTACTAAAAACTGGATCAGTTTTGGTTTATAAATACTTACATATGATACGACCACCATTTTCCTTAAAGTTTGATCCCCATTCTTCTTTAGCACCACTATGATAAGTTATAGTAAGATTCACGTGATTGAACAAATAGAAAGTTTTCGGTTTGTTGTATGGACCCTAACAGCATACATAAAGAAATATTAAATTTAATGTTTTCATAATATTAAAAGAATTCAATAACTCGTTCTATACTCACATGTATAGTACAAGTGTCTTGCTGAGATCTAGACTCTTTGGAGTAGCAACCCATAGGGAAGCCAGTACTGCAATATTGTCGCTCGTCTTCTAACTGATAACACCATGTTACTGGCATGTTATCTGACAGAAACACATTAATTAAATATTAGCAAGTTTTTATAAGGATACAGATAATAATAAAAAGTATTATAATTGCAAAACTGTAACTTTTCAGGAGAATTATTTATACAATAATCTTTTCTTTCTAAAAATTTGTTAATCAATAATAATAGAGAAACCACAAAATTAAATTAATAAGTAATGATTTATAATAAAATAACAACTCAATAAATATATATGAGCTAAATGCACTATTTTTAAAGTGAATATATTTCTGTACATTACAGCGCAAGAGCTCAATATAATTTTGCTCACATTTATTATTTCTCTCTCTTTTCTTTTTCTTTAAATTTTTTTTAAATAGAAACATAATTACATGAATAATATAACATCTTTCTGAGATATTAATAAAATAGCATTATAGAAAATAATTGTAACTGAAAATATCCAAAAAAGTGATTTTAATTGATACCAAATACATTTTTAACTATTCAAAGCTTTTTGATACTTTACCAACAATCCAGTGATGTTGATAATTGACTGCTATCCCTTTCCTCAATAACTGCAAGTTCTGTTCACATTTTTCATCACCTCCTATATATGTTTTTATACAAGCGGTCTCACACTTGACATCTTTCAAGAATTGCAACTAAAAATACAATAACATATTTTAATTGATATGTTCAGAAATTAAGCTTTAAAAAAAATTGATCTTGGATCTTATTGTTTCTACCTTGTATGGAGACGGACGTATACGTTCTCCAAATACAACCTGTCCCAAGTTTTCAACTGGAGATTGTTCATCATCCCCCAAGCAAAAGTCAAAGCTAGATTAAAGTTTTATAAAATATTAAAAAATACTTACAAAAGTGATATATTTTATATTAGAAAAATTTAATAAAAAAAACAGATTACAAATATTATAATATTACTTACTGACTATATTCATATGGTATGACATATTTCTCCGTGTTTAAACGATTTACATACAGTTTGACATCAGACTGAAACAGATTTAAAAATCATAAAGTTTAATTCGCGATATATATATTAAAAAAAGATATGTAATCATAAAGAAATAAGATTCTGGTACAATTTATATATATTAAAATATTTGATGAGATTAACAAAAGATAAGAAATGTAGATAAAATTTAGTGCGTAAAAAAGATAAAGGACATAATGTATGCGCGCAAGTGCGCCAAATGATGACACGAAACATCCATGATCCGTCACTATCATAACCAACCGGCCGCAATTCTTATATACATATACCTTGCAGGTTGGAGTAGTCTCGCCCTTCTTGCAGTAATTCACAGGCGCCAGGCCGGGCAAATAGAAGGCCGTGGCACCGTGAAATACGCACAGCGTATAAAAAATCGCCGTCGCCGTCGTCGTCGTCGTCGTTCTCATCGCCGTCGTCGTCGACGCAATAGACTGTTCTTAAAATCTTCTGTCGTCCAACGTTCGCGTTTCCTGCGTAAAATATATACTCTCCTACATAAAAGGATCCGATCGCATCATACACCGCGGGTTTCTTTCGTTTACGAGGGATTGCGCGAAACGTCGTCGCGAGCACACGCAAACGCGTATCACATCTCGAGCGCTGCCATGACACGTCATGAAGTGCGCGACGACGAGTCTCTGTCTGGTGACTGGTGACTAATAATCACCCCAGTTCTCTACGCCCCCTCTCCCCCGCTTATCGTCCATAAATCGGCGCTATTGTCAGTTTTGAATTTCGCGCCGTTTAGTTGACGCGGGAAGCGATGACGCACACCATTCACAACGACCGGTGCTTAGAGATTTTTACTGGATAGACCAATCAGAAAATTTCGTGGGCAATCGAGTTTCATATGTATTATTTTTCAGATTCAATCCTTCAACATACCTATCATGATACTGGATAATATATGAACGAATCAAACCAGCGGACACCAGCTGATAACAGCTGAAATTTCTACAATAATACATATATAAACTATATTTGTGAGCAGTTGTATAAATCTCAAGAAAAAAAATAGTAAGGTAAATGCAATGTAAACCACAATTAGGACTCCGTTCGTGACGAACTCTGATCCTTCGATCATACAAATCAGTTTTCGACCAATGTCAGTGATGCGGCGGTGATACAGTGATCTTAACAGCGTCGATACGTCGTCTAGCAAATCTCATTAAAATCGTGATGATGTGCACAAATGTAAATTTTGCAACGTCAATTAATAAATATCATACGTATGTGTATTCGCAATTTATAAGTATCAAAGTTCTGTTTACGTAGTTAGCACAGCGATGATGTTTACGATCATGTACGTGCTCTAACGATCTCTTGCATAAAATTGTACTATGATGGGCATATTGTACGAGAAAAGGCCACTGAAGAGGCCGAGGCTGGGTCCTCCGGACGTTTATCCGCAAGAGCCCAAGCAAAAGGAGGACGAGCTGTCGCTTACAAACGTCAAGCATGGCTTTACCACTATACCTCAACTCGCGGATGAATTTGGAACGGCTAGGAGCTCCAATGTCACTGCCGCCAAAGTCGGCGCGTATTTTAATGCAATTCTCGCCAAAAAAGAGGAACTCGCGACGATGCCCGATACTGGTAGGAAGAGACAGCAGATTAATCCCAAAGACAACTTTTGGCCAGTGACAGCTAGAACTAAAAATGGTATTGAGGCATGGTTTAAAGATCTTTCGGGCAGCAAGCCGCTGGTCGCTCTCGCGAAGAAAGCTCCAAATTTCAATAAAAAGGAAGAGATATTTATGATGCTCTGTGAATATCAAGTGCCAATGCTGAGAGCAGCTTGGTTTATCAAGCTTAGTTCAGCTTATACGGTTGCAGTTTCAGAGGCCAAGATAAAGAAGCGTCAGCTACCTGATCCAACCACAGGTAAAACGCAACTTTATTTTATATGTTGTCAGGAAATATAGCTATTGTAGTTTCTGATAAAATTGATAAAAAGGAGAATTAACTAGTTAAATGATTTGTTGACAATTTTATGGAATTTTACAGAATTACTTTAGATGTATTGTTTGCAATCATAACTTAATAAGAATCTGTATAAAATTTTTTTTATTGTAAAGAATATTAAACGTCATTGTTTTTCCTCTTGTAGAATGGACAGGTACCTTGATAAAATTTTTGAAAGACCAATTATCTAAGCTGCAAGAGTACTATCATATGGGCAGTCATGTAGCCAATACCAGCAACAATAATAGTACAACAAACAATTCCTGTAATAGTAATGGGACTGCTGTGACAAATAATGGCAGTAACAACATCAATAGTAACAATAACAATGTTAATAATAATGCAAGCAATAATAACAATTCTGTCAATAATCAACCACCCACACCAACTTCGAGCAGTCAGCCTATAACAGGCAATACAATGAATGAAGAACATAAATTAGCGCTTAAACAATGGCACTATTGTGTACAATTGGCTAAATACATGTTTGAGGAAGGCTTGCTGGACAGACAAGAGTTACTACAATGGATCCTAGAATTATTAGATAAGATTAGATCTTCGCCCTCGGAAGATGGTATATTAAAGCTTCTATTACCATTGGCTTTGCAATATTTAGAAGAATTTATACAATCTGAATTATTAGCTAGACGATTAGCATATTTGTGCTGCCGTAAATTAGCACATATGTGCAATAATATTGAAAGTAACAACAATCCTCAAAGTCCTTCTGTCATTAAGAACGAAGTTAATAGCAGTAAAGACACTACTGTTGCTGTCCAAGGACCATTGAATCCTTTGACAATTGCTTTTAATGATTATTTGACTTGTGCACATCACAGAGATATAATTTACAGTTTATCTACTATAATACAGGTGAACAAAATGTTACTATTCTCTAGTATATATTATTAATTTATACATTAAATTAATTTTATTGCAATATTAAATAAGAAATTTATTCAATTTTAGGTCATAACATTGGAGTGTCCCACAGCATTGGTCTGGAATAGCGTTGGCGAGGGAAAGGCTCCATCAGTTTTGAATGGATCACCCTTAGACTATTTACCATGTCCTCCTGCAGCATTGCCATGTCCACCAGCAAGTTCCGGTAATCCTACAATGAAACAACTCAAAATAGCACAAGAAAATATAAGAGCACGATCTCAAGCAGCGGAAGGTAGATGGTCGTGTGACAAATGGCAACAGAGTAGTGCTAGAACGACAACTACTAAAGTTTTGGCTGCACTAGATGCTCTCGATCGGCATAGTTTTGATAGAATGGATGCCTCTAATTCACTCGATACATTGTATGCGAAAATCTTTACATTACCCCCGAAAGATAGCTGTAACGAACGTGATACAAAGACAGAATATAATCCACAACAGGATTCAGCAGTAGTTGAAATTTTGTGCGAATGGGCTGTAAGCGCTGAACGTTGGGGAGAACATAGAGCAATGGCGGTCGCTAAACTTCTTGAAAAGAGACAAAGTGAGGCTACTGGTGAGACTAATGATAATGATGACAAAGACAGTACATGCAGTAATGGAAGTCCGCCTGTACTTCCAATCTTTCAACCCTTGCTCATGAAATTTTTGGATGTGGACGCACCAGTATTGGATAATACTTCAACTCAACCCAAGGCCCAGTTTACGAATTTAGTTCATCTGTTCTCAGAGTTAATAAGGCACGATGTTTTCTCACACGATGCGTACATGTGTACTCTTATTTCAAGAGGCGATCTTATACAAGGTAATGGCAATATATGTTTACTTACATCTAAAAATTATTTGTTTGTATATGTTTCTCAGAGAGTTTGTACTTGCACAGAAAAATTAAATTATATATGTATTTACAAACATTACATTTAAATTATATATATTTTAAAATCAAGAAATATGCGTCTCTGATAACATCTCGCGCGTTAAGTGTATTTAACATAACAATAAAACACAAAAGAGACATATTAATATATCCAAAGTATATTTTCAAGATATTTCTGAGAGAAGCATAAAACAATAGGCATTTTTTCTATCTTATTCTCTATAAAAAAATTTTATCGGAAATTATTAAAATGCTTAATCAATTATAAAATTATTGTCTTAAGGTCCAGCAGCTAGCAAACCTGGAACACCCAGTAACAGGGAACCAATCGATGAAGATAGTCTCTTTCCGGGTATAGATTTAAAACCGACTAAATTAGAAGTACCAGATCATGGGCGTACTATGGATTATGATGACAGTAAAATTGATGACGATTTAGACAAAATATTACAGCATATTAAAGAAGATCAACAAAATAGTATGGATGCACCAGATAGCCCCAAAGAGGATGCATTGACTGGACATGGAGGTCATGAAAGTCTCGATTCAAAGATGCCATCAAGTCATAGCAGGCATTTACTGTATACTACCCATTTCCCTCTGCCACAAGTAATTTTTTTTTTTTTTAAATATTTTTATTAAACAATTTCAGCAAATTGTTAGATCAAATTGCAACCCCATATCTTTGGTATCTCTTATATGCTTGTTGAAATTGTTTAGATATAGATTATATGTACAAATATTTTTAATACAATGTTCTTAATATTATTAAAAACTTTTTCACATATAATTTATAAACATTTATTGATATAGGACGAAACATGTAGTCAGCACGACTGTAATCAGCGACATGTATTACTTTATGGTGTTGGACGTGTCAGAGATGAGGCTAGACATGTCGTGAAGAAAATGACAAAAGAAGTATGTAAACTATTTGGCAAAAAATTTAGTATTGATGTCGCGGAGGGTGGTAAAGTGAAGAAACATTCTCGAAGTGAATTTAACTTTGAAGCAGTCACTATGAAATTTCAAAATCTAAGTTATTTTGATCAACACGTTGTGACTTGGCAATGTGCAACACAAGTTATAGAAATGCTCAACACATTTGCGTTATCTGGTTCATCCTACTTACCAGTTCATGAACATGTAGCTTTTCTTTTTGATTTGATGGAATTAGCGTTGAATATATATGGCCTAATCGACGTTTGTATACAAATCCTAAAAGAGCTACCAGAAGTAGAGGCCCAATTGACAACTAGAAATAGTCAATTAGTTCGAAGTTATACCACAAATCTGAGTTTGTACGTGGTTGGTGTATTAAGAAGATATCATTGTTGTTTGTTATGTAAGTATATTACTATCTTGCATATATGTTTAAATTATGATATGTATGTACTTGTCTTACATTTAAATGATTGTTACAGTATCACCTGAGCAGACGACAGCAGTGTTTGATTTACTATGCAAAGTAGTGAAGCATGTCTCAAATCCAAGTGATTGCAGCTCCGCCGAACGATGCGTATTAGCGCATTTGTATGACTTATATTCGACATGTTCCCTTTTGAAAACGAAATCACACGGAGTGGAGGCATTTAGTAACGCTTATCCAAAAATTCGTGCTGCTCTCTATAGCACATTGCAACCAACGCCTTCAAGCCACGTTTATAATTCGCAATTTATGGTGGATGTTTTCACTAGTCCACGAAGAGGTGGAAAAATTGAACCGCAATGGGCGAGACAGTTAAACGAAACGCCGGCCAATCGTTACAGTTTCGTTTGCAATGCGATTGTTGCAGTCTGTAGCGAAACGGATAATGATAAACTCAATGACATTGCTATAACTTGCGCGGAACTAACTGCATGTTGCAATGCTC